TGGGGCATAATGAGGGAAACGATAATTTGTTGGTAAGTTATTGTTCTCAAATATAAGACTATAATTATTGATAATATTGACCTGTCAAAATAAAAACGGTTGATCTTCTGAGGTAGTTGATACACATTTTTTAGACTGTCAAGATATTTTGATTTTTTTTCCTCGTTATTATAAGATAGGAATTTAGATTGCTAAAAGAAGTGATTCCTAGCATGATGCAAGGTTTCATCCCAACTTACTTTTATGTATGTTATTTCAAATTTCACTTTGTTTCTGCATTCTTTTTATGTGCATGCTCTGTTGTAGATACTTCTAAATTCAATGTTATAAGGGAATGTTGATACATTTATGTTTGTTGTGATTCGGCCACTGTAAAAATGCTACTTCATACTTGTGGATGTAAATAAAATTTTGAATTCAGCGCTAAGATGTGCAAGAAGGGATTTTATGGGCTTAATTCTGCTAATATCTACTGGTTGAAGAATATTCTATTTAGCCTTTCGCAGATTACAGTTTAATACTCCTTGAGTTTTCTTTTTTCTCATTGAAAATAGTTTAATGTAGTTTCACAATTGATCATTTTCCATTGTATTGTTAGCTTTTTGGGGACACCTAAACTTATAAAAATGTAAAAATGGAAGTTTCTAGACTAAATAATCAAATTTTATGTAAAATGACAAAAATAAAAACTAGATATGTTGAAATTGAAAAGCAAATTGCATGTATTAAATGTTAGAAAGACCAATGTATTACTTTGTATTTTGCCTTTGTTTATTTTTTGATCTTCAAAAAGTTTGTGATAAGTGTAAATTTTCAACCTTTTGGTTACTGATAGATTAAATAACAAACCCAGAAGGGGCATAAACGGTACATAAGTCCTCACTGTGATTCTGTATTTTCCAAGAGATATCGTCATTGTTGAGTAGGTTGTTCTATCTCTATCTTCTTTTTTTGGGGACTTTTCCCTCTCTGCAATTACAATTCATTTTGACCATGTTGACCATTATTGTGATTTTGCATATTTTCTTTTCAGCTATAATTTTTTGGTACCAGAAACTGTCCTTTTCCAATAATTATTCTGGATATTGTTTAGCAAGGCAAAGCACAATGCAATATGATAACGGGACAAGACTACTATGCATTTCATATGAATGCTTTTTCTTTTTAAATTATATTTTGGAGCTTGTATTTTGCTTACCTGCAGTTTTTCCCCCCAGATAATGATGAAGGACCAGTTTGCAAATTATGTTGTCCAGAAGATTTTTGACAGGTGCACTGATAATCAGCGGGCAGTGTTGCTTAATCGAATCAGAATACATGCCCATGCTTTAAAGAAATACACTTACGGGAAACACATTGTTGCTCGGTTTGAACAGCAATTCGGAGAAGGTGTGTTTTCCTTCTAATCTGATGTCATCTTGAATGTAAGTAGGGAAGTTTTTGGTATAACTGAGCACTTTGAAGGACTGATCCATATGTGGCTGTTCTGTTCCCTTAATGTTTTATATATAGACCTAGAAGCATTTTTTGTGGCTTATAGTAGGTGGTCTAGATGAGTGGTAAGCAAATGTCTTGGACAATCTTTATTTGTTTAAGCCTGTGTTAAGTGGTTGTTGTAATGACAAAATCCATACATATTAGTTGTCCTTTCCAAAATCCTTTCCGGCATCAGTAGCTTTCATTAATCGTCTGAGAGTCACTTCCATGTGCAGAAAATCAAATATCGGGATCGTGAGCCCAGATGAAGAGAATTATTATGGGATTCTTGCCTCTGCAGCTCCGGCTGAGATGAATTACCGTGCATTATGTCAATGTTTGGGGATTGAAATGAGAGCATAACACAGTTGTTTTCCCCCTTCATCCGAAAACGCTGACATGATTACGTGCGCATTGATAGCTTCAGCTGTTGGAAGCTCAATGATGGGTAATAATAGAGGGTTGAATAGAGTGCAAAGTTGGTAAATATATGTATATCTGGTTTTAGGTATTTGCAGTATATTATTAAGAAAAGGAGGGAAAAGAGGGTAAAGAGTTTTTTATTTAGAAATTTCTCACTTTGGAACGTGTTAAAGGGGGAATTATTCGGAAGGAAACTCTTCCTGTTGTGTAAAAATTGCTTAAAACGACATTGTTTTCAGTGTGTTTTCTGACTTCTGATAAGGAAAAATGAAAAAACAAAGTGCATTCTCGTACTTATTTCTTATAGGAGTAGAGTTAACCTACTTTTTTACTATAATAACTAATGACAGTTTAATATTTGGAAGTCACTTAATTGGTGCTCATGCTTATTTCATAAATATTCAGAGTTAGTTGGATGGAAATAATTGTCTGGTCTATACTTATTTTTTAACAAGTTCAAACCATATAGTTAAAAAATTATAGTTATAAGAGATTATATATCGCACACTCTGGTTTTATATATATATATATATGCACACACACACGTGTATATTGGTCGGAGTGCTTGGTGATCAGGTAATAAAAAAGGTTAACTAAAAAAGTGTAAAAAGTTTTTCGAAAATATAATTAGCTTTTTAATAAAAATATAAATATCAATGTTAACTAAAATAGAAAGAAAAAAAACAAAACAAAACAAAATTTTGAAAGAAGTAAAAATTTAGATTTAACCCGTTTAAGATTGATATAACTGAAATTCAATGGTGTGGTAAACTATATTTTTTGGTAATTGGAATCTCTTTCAAACATGGTTGAGGTGTGTGTTGTGTTCTAGGTCATCTGGCAATAAATTACTATGATCATTCTATGTGTTTTGGTTGTCTATGTATCTTCTTGTAATAGTGAGAATTCTAATGAGTTATTCGTGTAATTTCAAAGAAAAATTTAAAATTTTAATAACTTTAAATTAATGATTGTGTTGGGACAAATAAAAAATTGGGGATACCTGCTAAAGGATTATGGATGCTTCGATTTGACTGAAAACTTACGAAAAATTCTAGTATGTGAATTTTTGGGATAAATATGGATTAGAGAATTTTAAATAATTAGGAATCACATGCTGGGCCAAGGTGTAATGGGCCCATTATCTATTCGGTCCTCATGAAATTACCTGTCCACCCCTTTCTTTGTATAAAATACCAAATTTACCCTCTGATAAATAGTTCGTCAAATTCCAAAACCCTGCTTCTCACTTCTCCCGCCCCAACACAGTTTGCCCTTCTTTCTACTCGCCTTCTTTCTCGCCGTCGCATTTATTTTCGATGAGCCATTGGATTAAAACTGAACTCAAGTGATAGGGCTTACTCCAAAGTTTGAAACCAAAGGTCTGGTGCGTCTCGCTCTTCTCGGCCTACAGCTCTCTCCAGCCGGTGAGTCTCCGGCGGATCAAGGACACTGGTTCTTCTGAAGTAAACGGTTTTCCTGCGTTTTCTCGTACTTCCTCGACAGCTTTCTGAGGAATTCCCGACCAGGTAGTCGCTAAGATCTTTCAATTATTTTGTTCTTCTTCTTCGTTTTATCTTTGGAAGAGGAAGCTCAGACTAAAAGGATGCAAAACGAAGAAAATTCAAAAGAGTTTGTTCTGTTTGGCTAAGAAATAAAATCTAGGTCTTCTAATTTGGTGTTTGTAAGGTTGTTGTGATTAGAGGAATAAGCTTTAGGTTTTAGTTTTCTCACTGTGATACACTCTGTCAAGACAGACAGGTTTAGTGTCGAAAGCTAGGTTTACTCAATTGAGTTGACATGTCAAATCGGCCCGAGTTACAAGCGCCGCCTGAGATATTTTACGACGATGCCGAGGCCCGAAAGTACACTTCTTCTTCTCGTATCGTCGAAATTCAGGTTTCTGATAAATCTTATGGACTATCTATAGTCTGCCTCCTTTTGCTCTTTTTCTCTGCTTCATCAAGCTTTTGATAATATGTTTTCTCTGTGTAACTACGTGATTTTAGGCAGAGCTTTCGGAGAGAGCTCTAGAGCTTCTAGCTTTGCCTGATGATGGAGTTCCCAGATTGCTTCTCGATATTGGTACACTTCTCTCTCGAGCGCGTCTATCAATGACTCAATCGTCCTTAAATGAATGGAAAAAGAAGTTGTTTTTTTGGCATCAATAATGCGATTGTTTGAAAAACATGATAATGTGTTTTCTCATAGTGTGATTTATGAACTTACATGAAGAAGAATGAGATACTTAAACTCTATGTTGCTTCTGTTAAGAGAAACATCTTTTGCTTCTATATGACAAACTGTTCTTGGGATCTTTCATGTTGAAATAATGAAGGATCAAAATTTTGTTAACATTTTCTCAACTACTAGCCATTTGTTAATGAACATTATAAATAATGATCTTCTTTAGGTGTTATCTCAAAGAGAAAAGATCTTCTTTAGGTGGACTTCATTGTCAGTCTTTTTGCATTATTTCTTTAGCACTTCAAGTGTTAAGGTTTCAATTGGTTATGTTATTGACTTCAATTTTGATATTAGTAGCTTTGGCTCATGCTTTCCCTAAATCATTATTTTCAAATTTATGATGATAGGTTTTCTTTTCTCTTATTCTTTTTCCAGGCTGTGGATCAGGGCTTAGTGGGGAGACGCTATCTGAAAATGGACACCAGTGGATTGGTTTAGACATCTCACAATCAATGCTTAGTGAGTAACTATTTCAGTTTGAAGGTGCTTGCTTCATGTTCTTGTTCATATTTGACAGAAAATAACTTTTTAAGGAAACATTGACTTGTAGATATTGCATTGGAGCGCGAAGTAGGAGGTGATTTATTACTTGGTGACATGGGACAGGTATCCACTCTTATTTGTGCTTTATCTACTTCATTGACTTCTGAGTTTGGCTAATGGTTCTGAAAAGCCTGTTAATTGGTATTTCCATGTTTTGTGGTTTCACATTTAAGGAGACTTGCAATGTGGTTATTCTTTCTAGTTGTTTTGGTTAACAGTAACCTGGATGATAATGGGTATATATTGCATTTCAGGGCTTAGGATTTCGTCCTGGAGTTATTGATGGGGCCATTAGTATCTCTGCTGTTCAGGTTTGGCTTTCACCTTAGCTTTTTCTGCTGTGTTTTATTTATTTTAACAGATTTTTTTTAATGATTCATTGCTTTAACTAATAAAGCTTTATAAGCTGTCATGTTGTATATCTTGTTCTTGCTTTTCTAAAATTTCCTTTTCCAATTTTTTATTTGACTCTTATCTGAGGGTTCTTTTTAGTTAGTTAAATAAAAGGCCGATTCATTTGATATTCTGTTCCCAAATTCTAATTTCCATATAAAGACTGATTCATTGTATTTATGGTGATGCACTAAGCATAAAATATGCAGATTTCAATTTTTGCGTCTTGTTTTCCAGCACCCTTGAACTTGTTCCTGAGAGCTCTAATATGAGATTTGCTATAGCCATAATTGAGGCCTAAATTTACGACAGCATTGCCATTTTATTTAGTAAAATCATCTATTGCTTTTCATGTTCTAAATTTTATGAGCTATGTATGGTTATTGATGTTAACAAATATTATCTCAGTAGACAATACTTTTTCTTATCTTTCTTTTGGCTGCTTTTCAGTGGTTGTGCAATGCTGACAAGTCCTCGCATGAGCCTCGATTGAGACTGAAGTATGTTTATACTTTTTATCTACTTAATAGTTACGCCAAATAAAACATATGACATCTTTTTTCATGACAATCTAGGTTGATATGGAGGCAGCAGTTATACAAAATTAACTTATTGTTGGAACTTGGTTTAGGGCTTTCTTCGGTTCATTATATAGATGCTTGGCTAGGGGAGCAAGAGCTGTTTTCCAAATATATCCTGAGAATCTAGCTCAGCGGGAACTGATTTTAAGTTATGCCATGCGTGCTGGATTTGCTGGAGGTGTGGTTATTGACTACCCCCACAGGTATTCTTAGGTTTGCTTCATTTATTTTTTTGGGGGTAAAATTTTCATTTGAATGCAATCTTGCTAGTAGAGTAACATGTTTAAAAATGCCTCCTTGAATTTTTGAATTTCATATGCATGGATCTCTGTCTTTGCATGCCCACACGAAGACTACTTTCCACTTTACTGATCATAGAAAATCATCCAGGGCATGGATAACTCTTCCATATGCAATTTTTTAATGAGGTACAATTATTTGGACTTTCTATGGCCTTTTCACCATATCAAGATCTGAAAACAGCACGCCTTGTTCTAGAGCAACTTAAAGTCTCCAAGTACAACATTGTTCTTTTTGTTTGAGTTGGTTAATGGTAAGGCTTGGATGCTAGTGCTTGAGAATCTTATGATAGTTGAAGGAAAGATGCTAAATTTGTTAGTAAGACCCTTGAAGATATTATTGACATGCTTGAAGGAAAAATCTACAACTTGATGGCTGGTATAATTGCTTCGTAACTGACAGCATTAAGCTTGCAATCTATGACTGACAACTGTTTAAGCTTTTAGATACTTAGTAACCTTCAGATAAGTTCTACAGAAACATCTTAAACACATTCTGTCAATTCTTCTCATACACTAACGCAAGAATTTTCAACTCATGACAGTACCAAGAAAAGAAAAGAATACCTCGTTCTTACTTGTGGTCCTCCATCTGTAAGCACAGCCGTTCCTAGAGGGAAGGGGGAAGATGGAGAAAGTACCTCTGATGATGAGAGCAGTGGAGATGAACCTGAGACGGTAAGCTGTCGTGTTATTATTGTAATTGTTCATTTTTCTTGTTTGGCTCTTTCACTAGCTGAATTTCTTGTTAAGTTTTTGGAAAAAAGAAAATTGAAAGGAAATTTTATAAATGCTCTTGTTAAATTAAATTTGCTATGTAGCGAATGGTTCTCTGATTTTTTGCATTTTCTTTCTCTTGGTCATGCAGGTTTGCATTTCAGATAGGCATAGGCCTAGGAAAAAGCAGAAGATTACAAAGAAAGGCAAGGGTAGAGAATGGGTCTTGAGGAAGAAAGAACAGATGAGAAGAAAAGGCAATACTGTGCCTCCAGACAGTAAATACACAGCTCGAAAACGAAAGGCTCGATTTTGATCTCCACCTTGCATTATGTACCTTATGGGAAGCTCTCTCATTTTGCATGTTTTACTCTTCATACTGCTTTGTTCAACTAAAATTACTATTTCGTTGGTGAATGTAATGTTTAAATATTTTGCATTTATTGGAATCCTAAAATTTTGGAAAGAGGATTTCTTCTTTTCTGGAGTTGTTTTGTGTCACTTTTGTAGTTTCTTTCTGGAACTGAATCACTTCGGTAGATAATTTTGAAATATATATAGATTCAAGCTACGCATTTGTCTTACTCAGAAGTTGATTTAAATCTTAGTTATAAAAACTTAACACGCAATTCAAATGTAAGTTTTATATGTGAGTTAAGTTGGTTTTCTTTATTAATTTTTTGATAAGTAGATTGCGAAAATGAATCCGTAACAAAAGTTGATTTAATTAAGTTATCTTAAATTAAAATATAATAATTGAGTATTAATGTATTTGGACCATATACTGTTATCTTAGTTTTTTTCTTCTTGAATGCTGGCACTGTTATCTTACTTCAGCAATCAAACTTTTCTGGCGAGATAATTTAAGTTGTTTGTCTGCATAAAGAGCTGTTTGTGTTAACTTTTTAGGGTCTGACATGATTTGCCCTTTAAACAATTCACTTTCACACTCTGTTGATAATTTCATCTCATATTCACTTCAAACAAATTTGAATCATGCTGTAAATCCACTCTGAAAAAAAGAAAAAGAATTCCTGCAGTAAATGAATTTTCCTCAATGCCACATTCGAATCATATTACTAGATTACTGAAAATTTAACAATATCAATCTCACGATTCTGGTAAGGACAAAGATGAAAAAATAACCATATGCTTTCCTTGCAAAAACCAATGTCAACAACTGACCCAAACTGGCATTAGCAATCAGGCTCAACTGGAAGTAACCAGAGAGGTAAGTGGTGGCATGCAACAATGGCACTACTAATCAGAGGCTCAACTGGAAGTAACCAGTGAGGTTACTGGCGGCAGGCAACAATGGCTAATCACAAACCCGATTAGCCAGAAACTTAGACAAACCTAGAAGCCCAGAGTAAACCCAGAAGAAAGTGCACCCTGAGCCTCAGTAACTAAAAATGCAATCTGGTAACAGCAGAAGCAAAGAGACTAAATCCACCTATGGAATTCTATAGAACTGATTAAGATTCGCAGCTTTGCAACACCGCAGAAAATTAAACTAATAATCGCAAAGTAATCTAAAATGATGCAAAAAGAAGCAATATCCAGTTATAAGGCAATCATATTCAACAGATAAGCTTTTCAACAAGAAATCCAAAACAAAACTTTTCAAATAAAGATCTCTTTGATCAACATATCTTCTTCCTCTAACACATGACTAACACCTCCATTAATGTCTCAACATGTAAAAAGAAATCAGCTAAAAGTTCAAATATGGTAGGAAAAATTGAAATCAACTAACAGTATCTAATCGAAAAGAGACAATCCCAAATCATCATCTTCCTCCTCGACTTCTTCCTTCTTCTCCTCTGCTGGGGGTGCCTCAGCAGCTGGAGCAGCAGCACCTCCGGCACTGGCTCCTCCGGCTGCTCCTCCGGCAGAACCTCCACCAACACTGCCGCCAATGATCACCTGCATAAGAATAATCCAACTCAGATTAAGCACTGCAGATAATCAAGAGATCAACAGCAATATTAGACCGCTTCCAATTGGATCATAATAAGCTGCCATAGAAATGAAAATGTCATTGCAGCCAAATCTAGCCTTCCAAATAGTGTTTAATAATTCGGAAATCTAGTGGAATCAAAGTCCAATTTCACACTAACAGAATTCCAGTAATTCACATGACAGATAACGAGTAAACGCGAAATACTGATTCCTACATGTATGACAAAATAGAAAATAATCAGGTCACTCAAAGAGTTCGTGTTAGATCAATACCCTATTACATAAAAAGTACAGGATAATAACAATACGATGGAATCTCGCTGTTTACTTGCATTTTTTTAAGGAACCGGACAGACTAGACAAAAGAAAAAGAAAAAGAAGCGACAAAACAGAAGTCGAGGGCGAAAATTACCTGGAATATGGCAGAGGAAGGAGAGACGGTAGCGAAAGAGGATTGAACACCACCGGAAGAGTCGACGGCAGTAGCGGCCTGAACGAGCTTTCGTTGTAGTTCGTAAGTAGAAGGAGCGGAGGCCTCGAGGCCGCCCTCGTATTGCTTAGCAGTCCACTCACCACCACTGCTCCTGCACACAAATGTGAATACGCCCATTGCGCCTTCCCTGTTGGCTGATCGGAAGAAAGAAAAACCCTAGACTGACTGATAGGATGCTGCGCGAGAAGCCTCTTCCGGATCCCATTTCTTCGCATTCGTGCTTTTATATTATACACCTGCAGAAATAAGTGGCGAACCCTAAAGGAGACTATCGACAAAATTACTCTTTTACCCCTACTTGTTTGAGCTGGGCCGGCATTTGTCAGTTGGGTGTTTGGAAAACAAGATGTGTTTATTCTAGACATGAGGCCCATAGCTATTGTTGTTAATTATAAAATAATTTTAAATAGCTCAAATTTTAATTTTATAAAATTTTAATAAAAATATAACACAATCATTTTAAGCTTAAAAATACCAAATTGCTACATTTTTAAAATTATATATAATTTTATTTCACAATAATTCAAATTACTATACGTAAAATTATAATTTTTTTTCTTTTAAAAATTGTCACAAATTTAATATATAGTTTCAATTCCAAAAAACGAAAAAGAAAAAAAAAAACCAAAAATTAACGGGATTTGAGAGAAAAAATATATTCTAGTTTCAATAATTTTTTAATGTATTCTCCTTTAAATACATGCCTATATATATATATATATAGGCTATAGAGACAAGAAGTTGTAATTGGGCTAATGATGGTTCTAATCTTCCTCTCATTTTTCTGGATCTCCATTCTTCTAACTCTTTTAACTTTAATTTCTTAAAACTGAAAAGACAAAATTACCCTTATACATACATTACGCTTTTTATTCTGCATATTATTAGTTATTTCCTAATTTACCCTTGCTATCTTGCAAAGATCTAACAGTCATAAGCACAAATGCAAACACTAAATTGTGGCGGTAAAAGATCGGAGCAGGATCCATGGCAGTTCAGATGTTCTGGAAATTTAGACATGCAGTTTTCGTCGCAGCACTTCTCATTACAAGCTGCAGTACATCTATCGATTCCTACATTACATCGACGACGTGGAGGAGGAGATAAGCAGAAATACGAACACCTACACACCATCACCGAAGCCTCATCCTCTACACAAGTTCCATTGCCTTTCGGATGAATCGATTTGCAGTTTGAATCGCAAATATTATCGCAGTATCCCAAATCATCCGAACAGATTTCACCATCCACCAACAATCCTCTTTCTGTCAATATATGTGTAATCAGAAAATATAAGTAATTGTTAATTTGAAAAGGAAGAAGAGAAATTATGAAGAAAGGAAAAGTAAAGGTACCGAATGCGAGCAGTAGAATAATGGCGATGAAGGAGTACTTGGCCATTTTCAAAAACTCGAAACTGTTTATAGTTTGAATTGATTATGTGTTCATCTCACAATGTTCTCATTACCACTGCTATTTATAATAATTAAGCTAATAAAAATTCAAAATTCAAGCTATTAATTCTATGTATGGAAAAAAATTGAAAAGGATGATAATTTTTGGAAAGATTATTCCTTAATTAGTAAAGGTATCTTCAATGGGAAAGTATTAAATTCTCATGTTTATATATATATATATATATATCTTTTATAATTGGAAAAAAAATCAAAGAGTTCATTAATATCGTGATTTAATGATAAAAAGGCGGACCTAGAAAAATGGGGGTGTTTCTTTCAAGAGATGGTTTGCGTAAATACCAGGTTGGACGGGGGCGAAACCGTAATTTAATGTGAATTTCTTCCTGCTTCGTTTCTGTTACGGCGTAGCTGCAGCGACGCCGTTTTTCCCTGAAGAAAAAGATATATCAACGAAAAATCCTCTCTCTATTCTCTGTCCCTTGTCTCATTGAGTGTAAACCCTAACGAAAGTATTCTTGCAGTCTTGTTCGAGGAGTGGATTGCGTAAAGCGAGTTAAATCAGGTATACCTATCAGTGATCTCTATATTTTGTAGCAGCATTTGAAGCTGATTGTACTGCCTAAATGAGATTTTACTCCGGTTCGATTTTTTGGTTGCTTATTGAGATTTTAGTTGTGCGTTTTTCGATTTCTATTAAGTTAATTTCGATTTTGCTTTACTGACACTGAAATATGAAGAAATGAAGAACGAACGGTAGTAGAAGGGGAAGAAAAATAAATATGAAAGCTGAAATACGTGTTTGGTCCCGATATTTGATAAAGTACCAACAGATGAAATTAGAGTATACAAGACAGATAAGGATGAGGTTATTTGTGCGATTGATTAGAGAAGAAACAGTCCTTTGCAATTTAGGTCAATCCTTGCTGGAGTTGTGATTGTGGATGACATTGCTGTTAGTCTTTAATGGAACAAGGGTGTAGGAATAGAAGTGTGATTGTCACTGAATCTGTCTCTCTCATGTAAAAGAAATGCTCGGGGGGGACAAGAAGGTTTGAAGAGGGTATTGTTACGCCATGTCACTAGGTTATCTTTTCCCCATCATATTTTTTCTTTCTCCAGGATAGCTGTAATATATATATATATATATATATGTTAACCTATTTGTCAATTATACTAACATAGCAACCATGTGGGTGGGAAACAAATTTCTGCAGCTAGCATTACTCTAAAAGAATAACCAGCATCTGAATCCTTACACTACGTGATCACAAAGTTCTTTTCTTTTTCAGTAGCTAGGTTTTTACAGCCAACTCTTTCTTTTTCAATTTCGTTTTTGTAAAATTAATAGAAAGGTATCAGATCAAGATTTTCACATAATCCAGATTTTTAATTCATTTGTTCCAAAGATAATAGTAAGGGTTTTGCTCTAATGTTTTAAGTGCAGTTGTTCTGTTTTTCTTTGTTTTATCACATGTCATTTGTTTCAGTTTTCTATACCATACATGTCCAAAAGGTATTAGATTGTTTGTAATATCCTTGTGGTTCTTATGGGATCACTATTGTTGCTTTACTGGTGTTTTTAACTTAGCTGCCCACCATTTGCTAGAGAATTGTAATTATACCATGAAGAGGGCAATGCGATGGAGTGATCAGGAGGATGATTCATTATCTTCTGATGAATCCTCAGCATCATGTTCAGATTCTGAAGCTGTTGAAAGAGCTGACAAGGCAAAGATAAAAAAGTCTGCAGGTATTTTAACATAATGTATTGTTCATATTTTTTTATGTTGCCTAATCTAGGAAAATTTTTACTCGGGAAATGTATGGTTCTTTTTTATCCTTGCATGAGAATTAGATGCAATCCAAGATTTTCCATCTAAAAAAAAAATTAAAAAAAAAACTAAATATGAAGGATCCTGTTGATTTTTTCTCATTTGATATGTATCAACTTTGGATCTGTTTGGAATTTGGATGGCTGTCATGGGAATATCAATATATTCCATATTTTGGCTATTCAAGTGTTTCCTTTATTTTTGCTTTTGTTTTCTTCTTGGGTAAATGGGGAAAAGAATATTTGTTGATTTTGGTTTAGTTGACTTGTACAGTCAGGTCTAGGAAGCAAAAAAGTGGTGCTACTGCTATTGACTTTGAAGCATTGAAGCGTCATGGTTATAAAGGCGGATTATCTGTTCTGAATATGCGTCCACCAGAAGAGAAGCCAAACTGGTCTTGGTCTACAGGCAAAGAAAGTAAAGGAACTGAGGAAGTTGATGAACGTTATGAAGACCGACAGAAAACTAGAGCTGCAGTATTGAGTGGCGAACAGCTGACGAATGTGCAAACTCAGAAAGAAAAAAAGAATATTTCTTTCTCGCAGAAAGAGAAAAGGAAAAGAGAACTGGGTCAGGCTAGTAGAGGGAAGAATTATGTCGAAGAAGAGAAGAGATTATTACGAGAAAGTGGCATTTATTCAGGTTTTGATACATGAAATGATTTAACCATGCAAGTCAGTTTCTTAATCGTGTTAAATATATGCATGGCCTGGCTCTTATTACATTATGGGCTGTATTTAGCAAATGCCATAAGAAATCGGTATGGTTGTTTTCCCTTATTGTCATTGCAAGATAGAATTAGTTTCTTGAGGTTTTTATGAACATGTTTATGTTGTTTCTAGCCGCAAGATCTATATCATCAAAGCTTTAGATGTTTTCATATCATTAAAGCTTATTTATTACTGAGGAACTTAACCATTGAACATTGTTTGAAGATGATAAAGATGCATATTTTCTTTAATTCATAACCAGAATGCTGATATGGTAAGGAATCTCATCTACTCGTGCTTGTGCTTTGTATGCTTTTCCTGCAATGACTTTGAAGGCAGTCTCAGTTGGATGGAAACCATCATAGTACATATATTTCTGTAAGCTCAAGGTATCGATAACCGATAACATTGCGCTTAATCACTTATACAGCAGTTGGTTGTATTTATAACCTTGAATCATGTACATAAGAGAGAGACATTCACTTCTTAATTTTCAGTTGAATATATTTATAAACTGTAGTCACAACTTCTAGGAGATTGAGAAGATTGTTCTGTGGTTGACACTGGTTGTTATATTTGTAACCAGTAGCATATACAAATCATTACAGGTTCGTGTTCTTCCATGTAGAATCTCAAGTCAACAAAGAATATATACATATATATAATCAAATAGTGACATGAAGCGACATGTAAACATACATACATATATATATGCACATATTGTTCAGGTACAAATTCTTGGTTGGCATTGTAAAATAATTAAATTGAGTTTTAAGTTTTAGTAAATTTATTATATTTTTTTAATAAAAGAAAATTTTTATAAAAATTCTTTAATCAAAATAATTATAATAATTAACTGTTTGAACTAATTTTTTTAAAACAAAAAGAATAAATATATGTAATTCTGACATAAAACTGAAGATGATTGTGAATGTCCACAAATGACATGTTACAATTTATAAAAAGAATAAATATATCAAATATATATGTATATACACGTGCGATTTAGATATGCAGAAAGATGTATGTAATTTTTAATATAATATGGGGAACATTCATATACTTGAACTCTTCTTTTATGTTTATGTTTACAAATAATCACTAAACATCATCTTGTAACTAAAATATATTACATACAGTTTATACAAATTTTATACGATGCATTAATCTAATATTGACTAAATGCATGTAATATTGAATTAATCTTAAATTAGATTAATTTTATTTAGATGAATGCAGTGATAAATAAGAATTAATTATGAAATTAATTAGTGTGATTTTTCAGAAATTTGCACTAACTCATTGAAAACGTTAAAAAGATTACACAAATAATTCCTTGACCAAACGGGTTACACGAATGTTAAAATTAAGTGTTTCTCATGCATTGATGGATAAAATGTGTTTAAAATTTTGAAACTGTAAATACTTAAAGTTGAAAATTAAAACTTTAGACAACGTAAGCTTTTGTAACTTACGAATTTATTATTATCCATCTAGTTATTTCTTCCTCTGCCGCTGCTTTAAAAACAAGACACTTCACTGTTCTTTCTCGCACAAATACAACAACAAAGGTATTTTTCTTGTCCTGTAAATAGTTTAGTTAAAAATGATTCAGAAATGGTTTCCACCAATGATAATATTAGTCTTTGTAAAGATTTTACAAATACAACAAATGGGTTTTTTTTTTCTTTTCTTTTTTTGCCTATACAAACACATATATACACACACACATGCACATATATATAAATAGCGGTCTTTAAGGTTTCATGTTTCTTAGCCATCCGTTGTTGGATCCTGTCTTCCCTAATAAATCTCTGGTTGACTCGTTGAAATACTTTTCAACACAAAATCATATTTTTGTGTTCGTTGTCTCACAGATTTTCTAGTAATGGCGATTACGGATAAGGGATATTTGTGCGTGCTGCTGTGTGCATTTTTAATACCGGCAGTTGTAATAGCCGCCCCCCAAGTGCCATGTTATTTCATTTTCGGAGATTCTGTGTTCGATAACGGCAATAATAACTATCAACTTACCGTTGCTAAAGTTAATTATCCGCCTTACGGTGTTGATTTTCCTACCGGTCCTACCGGAAGATTCAGCAATGGCCGTAATCTCCCAGATTTTGTCGGTCTGTTCTTTTTGTTTTCTTCACTTTCTATATAAATTAGCTACATATTTATCTGATTTATATTAACTTAATGTGTAAATATTAAAGAGCAAAATTGTATTACATGTAAACAGCAAACCTTCTTGGCTTCACCAATTATATCCCACCATTTGCCACCAGTGGAAGAGGCCGTGGTGTACTTCAAGGTCTGAATTATGCCTCCGGCGGTTCCGGCATTCTCAACGAAACTGGAACCCAGATGGTAAATAATTAATTTACAGTAATTTTAATTTTACCCTCAAAGTTATTCCAAATTATACACACGAATGGTGTGTGTATATAACTAAATTTTGGTCTGAATGATGTGAAATATAGGGAGGTATAATAAGCTTGCATAATCAATTAAAAAATCATGGAGTTACAGTTTCAAACGTGGAAAAATTATTGGGAAATAAAGAAGCAGCCAAACGGTACCTAAACAAATGCATTTACTCAATTGGAATTGGTGCGAATGATTATATCAACAACTACTTCAGGCCTCAGTATTACAATTCCAGCAAACAATTCAACCCACAACAGTTTGCTGACCATCTCATTCGCGCCTATACTGGCCATATTATGGTATATCTATATACTCATCCCTTCCTTCATTAGTTTTTTTCTTCATTCAACATTTGAAGTCAGTCAAATTAAAATTTGACTCGGTTACTAAATCATACATATTACAATAATGCTTAATATTACACTAAGATACATGCATTAATAATGTCATTTTTACTATATATGTGTATGTAGACTTTGTATAATTACGGAGCAAGAAAGGTGGCTCTTTTCGGAATTGGCCAAATAGGTTGCACTCTCAGGGAAATAGGTGAATTCCATGCACAAGGGTGTGTTCCGGAACTCAACAATGCTGCTAAACTTTTTAACGAGAGGCTTATTTCGTTAGTTGATCAACTCAATCGAAATTCAAAAATTTCTAAATTTACCTACATTAACATCTATGGTAGCGAGACCACTGATTTCAAATCTTTAGGTAATCATTTCTATATGAACGTGAATAATATTCAATTTTTTGAATTAGATTTCGACAACAATTAAATTTTTTTTGTTTCCACAGGTATTAAAGTTGTAAACGCAAGCTGTTGCGAAGTAGCACAAGGTCAAGAGCTTTGCCTTCCATATAGAACTCCTTGTAAAAATAGAAATGAATATTTGTTTTGGGATTTAGTTCATACGACAGAAGCTATGGATCTGCTACTAGCAAAGAAGGCATATGGATCTCCTTTCCCGACAGATGCTTATCCCATTAATCTCAGTGAACTAGCTCGACTTTAATCACGAAATAAATAAGGGTTATTTTTTCAATTATGCCGGAAAAAAAATATTTACCACGATCTAATTGTTAAAAACGATATCTAGCAAAACATATATACCGGATACTTAGAAGTGTCTATGTAGGTATATTGATAGATATTTTCTAGTATGTAAATAATGGTAATAAAAATTTTTAGTCCGCATGACTTGGAAATTGTCCCAAAAGATGTAGTCGGGAGCTAGAGCTCAAGGAAATTTAATTCATCTGCTTGATAATTTTAACTCTATTCTTTTTATCTTCATACGTTAAATATATAAATTTTCAAAAAAGTTAATTAGTAATAAATTAATTTTAAAGAGCTTAATTAAAATCTCGTAATTAATTAGTGTGACTTTTATAAACGATTGTAATATATTATTTTTAATTTTTTAATTTTTTTAATGGATGTATAAAATTTTTAAATAGGTCGATGTTGAGTATTTTTACTAAGAAATAGATAATATTGATGTATACCAATAAATTTAACATTAAGTTAAAGTTTTAAATTTTTTGAATTATATTCTTCAATTTTTATTGAATCAATAATAAATATATTTATTTGTTTTAAAATATTGTGTTAGTTAGCTAATAAGCTAGTCATGAAGAGTATTACTTCATAAATTCTAATTATAGTTTGAAAATTTTATTCTATTTTAAACTAAGCTATATACATATAAATATAAACACACATATGTATATATATACTTGTAAATCACTATATATATCAAAATTAATTGTCACATTTACTTGCAATACTTCTTTATTTATAGTGTATTGATTAACTTATAAGTATAATTAAATTATTAAAGAAAAAAAAAGAGTCCGGGTAATTATTAAGCTTAATAATTGAATTTCGGTTAAAGAACTAAAATTTGGAATAAAGAATTTGCCGGAAATATGAAAAAAAAAATCTGACGGTCGGTAAAATTAAAAAAAAAATAGAAATATTATAAAAACAATATTATGCCGGTAAAATCATATGTTAATTTATAAATATATATTTTTAGGGTCAGTTAAAATGATTTAGTATTAATTTTTTTTTAAATTTTACTTTGTAAATCTCCGATGTATGAAAGTTCTAATAGAAATAGGTTGAATCTTAGCACAGCATGACCGCATAGCGCAGTGGATTAGCGCGTTTGACTTCGGATCAAAAGGTCGTGGGTTCGACTCCCACTGTGGTCGGTGTTCTTTAGTCAATTTTGAACGCACTTTTTTGACCAATTATAATTTTTCTTAAAGCTAACAAAATCAGTTTTTGCGTTTTTTATTATCATATGCGTGCGGGTACTTCTTAAAATCTCAATTTTGAACAAATAAATGAAAAAATTATTTATTTATATAATATTTAAAATAAATGATATATTTATTAATATTTTCAGGATGAATTATTAAATTAATCTTCAATATTTGTTAAAAAATAATTATATCTCTAATATTTTTTTTGTTATAATTTATTTTTTAGCGTTGTTCATTGGTTTTAGTCGTTTATTATTTTTTATTTATTTTATTAATGAAAAAATTAAAATAATTAAATTATATTTAAATATTTTTAAAAATAATAATTTTTATGGATTAACTAAATTATTACGTTATTAATTTAATTGATTTATTAATTTAATTAATCAACTAGAACACTTTTAAAAATATATAAACATAATATAATTATTTTAATTTTTTTGTTAAAATATAAAAAGAATTTTAATATTTAAAATAAAAATAAAATGTTAGTGATCAAATTATAATAAAAAAATATTAACAATCACATTGTTAACAAGTATGAAATTTTAAAATTAATTATTTATATTTTATTATAGAAATAGATAATTGTAATGTTTTATTATTATAATAATATGTATATATGAAGCTGAGAAATATGAACAAAATTAAATGAATATCCTCTTATTAATGGTTCAAGATTTAAATGGCTGGAGTTGGCGTAGAAGAAATAATTTGTTCACGATTGTTCCAACATCGTATTCTTCTTTGGTCCGCCACTACTTTCTTATACTTACATAAGTTTTGCATTTCCAATTTTTGCTCTCTTTATATTTTTATTAAAATATTGGATATGGATGGGTCCCCATAATATATATGATAAGAGTATAATCTATATAAGTTTATGAAATTTATAAGTTTTCAAATAAGGTGAAAAATATACTTTGTTTATGTATTTTTATTTAATATTGATCTTTATAGAAAAATAACAAGACTTTCTTTTTATTATAACTTATTTCAAGAGAAATTTTTTTATTTTTTATTTTTTTTTAAAAAAAAAGTAGCTTATGAGAGATTTCCTAAGCTTATAAGTTGCCAATAATATGAACCAAATGTTTTGGTAAACCCAAATTTTATTAGTTGTATAGTTAAAATTTTATATTGTCTGAAAAATTAGAGATGGGTTATAATTTTGTTAATTTTTTAAGTAAAATGTAATTTTTACTTTTAAAAATATAATAGTTATTTAACTACAAAATTTAATTATAATAAAAATAGTATAGTTAAATCAGTTAGTAGTATAAACTCTATGTACAGTTACAGTTATAATATTATTCGGTCTATAAATATAATTATGGAAAAAAAGAATTGGCATAAGGTAGGGTCACCTCATCAAATCGTACTTTAAATTTTATGTCTATATGTGCAATGTGTGCTTTTCATTTGCCTAAAATTATATGTGAGAAAGTAGATAAATTTGGCTAGATAGTTTAGGTGACTTTAAGAAAAATCAAACTCAGTGATTGAACTCCTATCATTTGGTCCACCATCTATAAACCAAAAACTTTTTGAGTTCTTATATTTATGATATTAAAAAAATTTATACTGTTATGAATTTATGAATTCAACGAGAAGAATATACATTGGATTACTCTTGTTAAAACAAAATATTTTAAATCTAATCAACTTTTTCCTATATAACTTAAGAGGTAAGATTATACGTAAAAATGAATATTAAAAACTAGGCCAATAATTGCTAAAAGAGCATACAAAATGGTAGTATGATAATATAATTAAGATATGAAGATATTATTAAATTCATATATAGTCCCGTAAATTAAATCTAATAGATTTTTTTTCAATCAAAATCTGTTCATAATTTATGTACAATATGCAAAAACAAGATCCAATTATGAAGATAGAATGGCAAAGAACTTTCCTTTATGTATCAATAATAGCTTGCCTATCATGGAAATGAATAAACTAAATTCGAACATGAACACTGACCATGAAGGATGGCAACCCTTTGAATTTAGCCAATGAGCATGATGGATCTCACAAAGTGGTGACTATAGTTTTCTTTTCTCAATCAGAAAATACTTGTTGATAGCAACAAGTAAAAAAAGATTCATCATTCATTCAACTTCACTGTAATGCAATGATAAAAAGTATCAAGTTATTAAAGTTTGTAATTGGAATGTATACAGCAACTAACAAACATTTGATGAAAATATTTTCTTTATCAACCCGTTAATTACTAAAAGTGAAATCTTTATTTTTTATCTAAAAATAATGTATCATTTAAAGTTTAAAATTTGCAGTTATAAATAACTCTTAAGAAGCTGTAAATCCTATTATTTCAACAAACATATACCCCAATTAGGTTATTGAAAATTAAGTTATTAACGTCGTAAATTTGGTTACTTTTTTTGTTAAGTGCTATAGTTCTTGAGTTTTAAAATAACTTAATGGTCTAGTCCATTATCTAGTGAAAGTTGGCAACCGATCTATCTTTTGATTGTTTAGTTCTTGTAAATATTTTAAATAGTATATATAATTAATACATGTTTTACATTTTAATTAAAAAAATAATAATAATTGACACAACATATGTGACAGCCCATGCCCTAATCTAGTTACATTAAGATATAATATCCACTATCCTACACCAAAACAATGTATATAGAATACTTAACTAATTCTCTTAGTCATTAACCATAAGATAAACGAATCTTGTTACAACGGATATAACTCTAGGCTCGTAGCAATTCTACAAACATAACCAAACACATAAAAGTTCTACCACTATTTTAATACAGTTACTTATACTATTGCATATCAATTTTAATAGTAATATACTGTTTCTTTTAGGTTTGGTGCTCCGTTGCTAAGCATTTCGATTCTGATTTCTGTCTCAAAGCATCTGAAAATGAAAGTAATGAGTATACATAACCCAGTAAGATAAAATTTAGAACTAAAAACTAAAGAATGATAATTAGCTAAACTCCCTCCTCAATATTATATATATACTTCATTCTAAATACCATTCATCTTTTTCTCACTAACCACACTCTCTCCCCACTCAATACCTTCATCACATCCACACTTAATTCTGATTATTACTTACTACCTCTATCACTCTATTTTCCTCATCCTGTGCCAACAAATGACAAACCCGACTCCCTTCTACCTCTACAAACCCTCTACCGTTACCCCCTTCAACCCACCAACACAGAACATGAAAACACTCCACACTTTTGACCCTATTACCATACTAATTCAACACTAATCCACCAGTCAATACACTCACGCATACAACCTCCCAACACAAGCAACCAGTCTCTCATATTCCAATATCCCAATATTGGCCCACAGGGACCACACACGCATACCATTGCTAAATCTGGGGTCTCACCCCAATAACAACCACAACCACAAATGTCAGCCACCAAGTGGCCCCATGCACCAGCACATCACAACATCATATACACACCACTATCCCAGCATCAAATGACCACTGAATGGCCACTCTAAAACTCACCAATATCAGCCAACGGCCTTGCACACACTTGACCAGGTGAGTGCCTTATCGACCATTGAGTGGCCATACACATCGCATGCCACTACTCATCACATTGGCACACCAAAACCTGCAAGCATCGGTTAAATGGCTTCACACACCCACATACCTACACATATATATACTGTGAGCCATTAATCGCTATACCAGCACACTAGAACTTGTAAACATCAGCCAAATGGC